CTGGTCAAGGCATAGTCTTCCACCGGGTCGGCCTGCGCCATGGCCGAACCAGAGAGTCCTTCGCCGTCCGGCTTCCAATGACCGAGAGCCTGCACTCTCTCGCTAACAGCATAGAACGGCTCCCCCAGTGCCGTTGCCGCCTGCAGAAATGTCTCCTTGTCCCCTTCCCCTGGAGCGCCTTGCGACAGCAGCCGGAAGTAATGGGATGGCCCGTAATAGTTGTAGTAGGCGGCCAATAAGAGCGTTGTCAAATGAGCCTCCTTAGACACCAAGAAAACGCCCGTCTCGGACGACTGTCGAGCAGACATCGGTGGGATTGGTTGCCGAGAGAGTTCAAAGTATGCCGGAGACGCAGTGGACACCCAGAAGTCGGGCCAAGTGATCAAGCCGTTGGTCTTGAATGGTTCCGAGTCTAACAGCTCTTCAGGTTTGTGCAACGGGAAGCAGTCCGCATCCATCCAGATGATCTCCTCGAACGACGAAAATAGAATCGCAAAGACCTTGAGCTGGTAATGCGCGATAGGGTTTTTCCCGACGATTTCTGAAAGGACCACGCACTTTGCACCTAGATCGGGAAGCACGCCATCACAGATCTTCTTCTCATATTCGGTTGCATCCTTCATGTATAATTCTACCGGTAAGGTAGAGCCTGTACGGCGTAGCATCCGTAACGACGACAGAAACACTGGAAGATATGAATTCCCCGCAGTCGACACCAAGCCGCGAGTTCCAGCAGTGTGGGGTGAGCGCAGCTTTTTCGATACCCGAACATCGCGAATATAATTCGCATGCGCCTCTTCCATCGCCTTTCGGTCGTCGTCTTTCAGGAGGGTTAAATCCGGTCGCGCATCGGTTGAGGTCGCATTGAAATGGACCGCATGAGCATCGGCTCGGGCAACTGGAGAGGGACAGTTTGGCGCATTCTTTTCTAGGACGGACTTGAGGGCTTTCCAAAAGGCAATCTGACGTTCGGTGAGAGGGACTTCAAATGCGGTGCTGGGGACCACGGATGCTGGTGCCGGGGTCCAGTACAGATAGAAGGTCGAGATCAGAAAAATAGCGCCCGTGGCTAGGAGGAGTGACTTCAATCGGCCGAACCGGAATGTTCCCATGGTTGCGGTTCGTCAGTCAGCTGTTTAAAGAGAAATTTTGACGAACTTAAGCCAACGTTTTCGAGAAGCGTTGCGGACATAGAGTCGTTGAGGCTTGTTTGAGCCCAGGTTGGGTGACAACTGACAACGCCGATGGTAACTACTGACCAGGTCAGAGTAACACTAGCATTTTAGATAGCTAATGGAGAATTCAGCCAGTATCTGTAGCGTTAAAGGATAGAAACGGAATGAAAAACCTCAAGCCGAGGACTTTCTGCAATTGACAATATTATGGTCCATTATCCCTTTTTCAGGTTTAGTGCCGGCCTAAGAAAAGCAGCCAAGATTTTAGTCAACTGAAGATCGCTTGCTTATTTTATGCACATTCTTCTCAACAATTAATGGATCGTAATGCCTGTGGCAAGAATAAAGGGCCTCCTTTTCTACTTAATATTCGGATCTGATGATGTTGCTGGACTTCTTCTGTAAAACACAGACTTGGACCCATGCTGTTGAACATTGTTCGAAGAGCTCTTGATAAAAGTGTCGTCAACATCCACTTATTAAAGACTGTATTAAATCATTGCACCATCATGTAACTTCTTGAATGCATCAGTATATTGCACCTCTGCCACGTCCAGCTGTTGAGCCATCCGCTGCCGCCGCGTACCTTGTTGCTCAGCCCGCCTTTGCTGCGCAAGTTAGTGAGTCGGGAACTTTGATCTCGCTCGAGTAACCCACAATATCACTTCAAACGGCAAAAGCATCATGCCAGGACTCTGGCCTGGTGGGATACCCTCCCACATACGACCACACCATACGGCGGACCTAAGCTTTGACGAGAGCAAGGAAGAGGTCAAAGGGTGGCTGCTCTTTGTGAAGGTAGGATCAAATTGCCTTGTCTAGATTGGTATTCACAGTAGCTCAGGAGAGCTGGGTTTCTCGCGCCCATGCTGGAGTAGCCGAAAGTGAGGATGAGGATTTTGAGCTTCGCCAGCGACGAGCATTGGTCGACCGATGGGCAGCTGCAACACAGGAGTTCCGCGATGTATGAGTTTTTCACATCCCTGACCGAAAACGACTCCTTTTAATTCTGTTTCAGTCCTTCCAGGAGCGCGCCCCAATCGGCCTGCCTGGCACAGAGACAAAGAACTTCCCAAGTGATCCGGATGAAGGTCTTCGGTATCCTCCGGAAGCATTGGAGCGAATGTTTAATCCTAGCCAGCCTGGCCATAATAGAGGTGTTATCTCTCTTGCACCGGTGGATGCCGCTCATCCCGTTAACCAGGCGCGATGGGTGAAGTTTCTGATCCTGTTGTACCGTTACGACTTAGAGTCAGGCCACTGTCTCGATAATGATTATACGTTCTCCGTTGCATCTCTCAACCCAGCTACCACAACGACTGCATCATTCGATGACTTCCTGCCCTGGCTATACCTCGAATCTGCCTTGTTTAGTGGTATCTATCTCACCCGTGGTGGGACAGTACTCTATCTCGGTCAACTTCATAATCATCTATTAGTTGACAAGGAAGGGCTGAGAACAGGTCGCCTGGCTATTGTTGACTATGACATCAACGGCACTGTCAAGGATTTAGTTCTGCGACGCCCCTTCAACATGCACCAGCCGTATCAGAACCTCTTTCATAATGGTCAATCGATATCCGACGTGTTCCAGGGTCTTGGAGGTGGAAATTTCCATAATCAACCGTGAGTGCGCTTCCTCCCCTTGGTAGAAATATGTCTAACTCTTCTAGGATGAATATGGACCTACCGATTCTGGGTATACTAGAGCATGCAAAAGCTGCTAACCAGCTTCTCGATACTATGAGTCTCTGTAACCTCAAGGACTGGAGGGAAGATGTTGAGGTCTATGCACCAGGGTATCTTGAGCTTGAAGCTGCAGGTAGAGGTCTATCCTATGACCTTCGAAACCTGGTTTCACCGGAAGAAGTTATGATGAGAACAAAACCAGCGATGCAAAGGATTTTGTCCAGTCACGAATTACCTACGGACCGAAATGTACTATTTCCTGTATAGGGATGCAACGAATAGTGTAGTTTTTTATGAATGTGAGAACATTGACTGATCCCTGGTAGTAGAAGCCTGCAGCATATATCATGCCACTGACTCGCACCGTACATATACTTAGTTCTTTCCCAAATGTTTCTGCTCCTTCCCATGTGTATTTCCTCCATCCGGTACTGTGGTGCGCGCGGAAAATATTCATACAAATAGGGGCCGGATATATAATCAAGTGAGTATTTTAATTTGAGTATAGACCAAATACCACTCTAACATAAAATGTAAGATTAACCGTTAAGTAATTTCTGTAAAATATATTATAGAACAATAATATAATAACATGTATAGGGTTCTATCATTTCTATGACCAGGCTAACTGAGCAAAAAGCGACACTACTTCAGACTGTTCCGTAGCAGAGTCAACACCTTCCAATCTCCTACTATGGAGTTTCCGTCCTCCTTTGAGCTTTAGATACATATATGAGAGCCTCTACACTTCAAAAATGCCCAATAGCTCTCATCCTGGTTCGAATCTTGAACGCTAAGAAATTGACCGGATCTTACCGGCCAAGCGGCAGCAACGCGAAACAGAAGCGTGCTATCCGTGTCGCCAGCGCAAAGTAAAATGCGACAATGGTCATCCTGAGATCTGTCTATGATGTTGAGAGACCCTCTCCGTGGAAGCGGGCCGCGATAAGTCCTCGAAACGACGAGAATGGCGCCTCTTATCACGCGTTCACATCTGGCTTGAAGATCGCAAACGATCAGCCTCAAACCTGGAATCTGTATTTCCTCTGCGTACCAGACGTGCATTAGGCCAGATGAATTAGGAGGGCCTGAAAATTATGTCTTTTTCGGAGAAAATAAAGTCATCTCCATACTTGGATCACACGACACTGATGGATTGATCGCCCACAGGCCGGGCTCTGCTTTGGGGCTTCAAAATAGCTACAGCAATTACCCATTCGTGGAGCTTCAGACCTGTAGATTGCTGGAAGGCTCTCGTGGAGGTCCTTCCCCACAAGGCTGGCTACACCATTCATCGGCTCGTCCTCGTCGGTGATGACATCGGTGTCTACAACGGAAAGGACATCATGTGGGCATTCTCGACCAGTTGCCGCCCAAAACGCCGATGAGACTTATTTTGGGGATGTTCGCGAATTCCTTCAGATTCTGTACACGTCTCACGGTACTGGGCTCCTGACGCAGGGCGGAAAGGTTGTTTCTGTTGCTCTCATGCCTGCTGAGTATACCTGGTGCGGACTAGGAGGTAGCTGTTTTTGAACACTCCTACCCCTAGGAGCTCAAGGCCAGGGTCCGAGCTAATTGAGTAGCTATGGGCTTTCGAGAGTGTGATTGATAGCATTTCACGTGTCACTAGACTTGTACTTAGGAATATGCTGATAGATGATCTCATATATTGAATGACAGTATTACGCTTCGCCCTAGCAACTAATGTGGGTATGTTGCGTACTGCCGTGACCATTAACAACTCATAACGCTTTTCGTTCTGTTTTAGCTTTGAATTCGTCCCGCAGATCATGCTCCTGACTTTGATGAGAGTCGTTACTGACTTACCATCGAGAAGTGCTGATTAATATGCGAAACCAGTATAGGAGATATTCCCGGTATAATGATTAAATTATACAGCACTCAATTCTAGGCTCAATTTATGCTTAGCTCCACGCTTGATTCATACTTACTTCAACAATTAATATGGGTTCATGTACACCTTCCGCCGTGGCCCGTCAGAATGTAGCGCCTAATATCATGACCAAGATGTGAACGACGAAATAGCACAACCCCAACCACATCAATGCCTGTCGACGTATGTACCATCCGCTGTGTCCAGACTGCCTGGAAGCCTGACTTACACGCAGCAGCTCAGGCTGCAACAGACCCTCCATTAAACTCCTTTTCCATTTCCACAAAACACAAGTCCTCATGTAACGCACTCCCCTCCACTCGTTGAACCGGAAACGGCGTTAACTCGCCAGTCCGCCGATACCCACAGCGCATGTACCAAAGGATCAGTTCCAGACGGTTCGAAAGAGCATTTAAACTCCCCTTGTTGACGCCCCAGATCCGCTGACAATAGCCCTCGGCGTAGGCGAGTACCTGCCGCCCGATACCGCCGCGTTGGAACTCATCGCTTACTGCAAGCAGGAATAAGCGAGCGAAGTCAGCGCTGTGCCTGGAGATGCCGATGGAGGCGACGAGGGCGCCATTGGTGTCCGTTGCGATCAGGAATGCACTGTCGGGCGTGGTGATTGTGGTGAGGATCTCCTCAACGCCAATGCTGAAGCCCGCCGCGAGGGCCGTGTCTCCTGTCCAGTTTGGTCTGCTGTCTTGGGTGCGGAATGCGAATTGCACCAGTTGCTGGATTTGGGGTGCGTCGTCTGGAGTTGCGAGTCGGTACTGAAGGGTGCTGTTTGTCATTTTAGGTGGTTATTCCGTGAGCGGATATCTTCATATTTAGTTTCGTACGCTGGCTGGATGTTAGTTCATATGTATCATGTGCTGAGTAGAAGGAATCATACAATTACTTACATGGCCTTAAAAGCGGGTATTGCATTCGCTTCCCCGGGGTTGGACTAAGCTAAATGTAGGTTTTGGGGGCGGAATCTTGTCTGGCGCAGACAAAGCTCTAGTAAACTAATAGTCAGAGTAAAAGGAGATGCAGTCTTATATACCTAGATCGATGCTGGGATATTATAGAGACTAAGCCCTCTCGTGGCTGCTCAATTGGGGCTCTGTTACTCGATGTTATAGTCCACGCCCTACGCCCTTCCGGATACATATACTATTCACTATATGAATAAGAATTAGGCTGAGATTAGAAGCACATCCTGATTATCACTCAGATGAGATGTTTTGCTTACATCCTCTAATCCCATCCTGCAGTAGAGACGGAATGGCTATTTGCCAGCGCCTTCTATCAGCTACACCGCGGACACTAGTGAACCATTATTTGTTCCTTTACTAGAGCTGAGCTGCTCATATGTTTACCTGCTTTCTTCTAATCTTATTTAATCTATGTTTAACTTGTATAAAATACACTTGATATTTTTAGACTATCTAGATGTTTTACCATGTAGAGTTTAAGTTCCTTTTATTTCAGCAACTTATTACTACGATATATCTAGTGAATTTAGTAAGTATAGGTCATTGTCTATAGTGACCGGCCATCTAGGAAGAGCTCGGTCATCACTATGTCAGTGCTTCGTGCAGCCTTCCTCTGAATCCAAAGTAGACGGCGGTGGAAACAGAGGACGGTAGGCAGACTGCATTGGGCAATCAACAACCCACATGTCTTGACGCCCCTTTTATGTGGTGCTGAGACTTGCTAAGCTCATATCCCCAGTTAACTTTGAGGGTGTGTCTGGCAGGGCTTTTCTGTCTGCTTGACATATTTTATGAGCAGCTGGAACACCTGGATATTCGGCATATTGGTATTTGCCAGAGGTGACGGTCCGTCTTGTGTGATTGGTTCAACTATTTTTCAGTTATCAACTTAGTCTGATCTAACCGGTCCATCAGCGTATCTCCAGGCGCTTGGGGTTGGTCTGGTCAGTGCTATGTCCATGGTATTTGTCGTATAAGTGATAAAGCCTCTCCGGATTGCCCATCAACAATCAACTGCATGAAGCCACCTAATGTGCCAGCATCCGCTTCGCCGAGGACACCAATGGAACGCGCTATTCTGGGGTTAACCTGTTCAAGCAACCGTTCATGAGAAGGCGTCTGTATTAGTGCACAGACTGTATTTATGATCTTAACACTGGTGGAAAGAAATTTGCCATGGATGGTTGATCGAGGCCCTATCACTGCCGGCAGTTGGAACCTGCGCACCAGAAGAAAATAAGTCGACGCCTGATTCGGAGTCCATAGTATGTTCATCTTCTTTGTGTTAGCGCTCGAGAGTCGATATTTCCTGCACAGGTCCGGAGGCCTAGTGCCTGAGTTTCTGCAACGATGTCCATCATCATCCACATTCGTAGGCTATGATGTCGTCCGAGTCATCTTCGGCAGAATTGTGCGCTGCAGCCAGCTCCACTTGGTTTTGGAGGGCAAGATAGACATCAATGTCTGCCAGAAGAGACTCGTCGAGCGAAATCGAAGGGGAGAATCTCCAACTCAATGTCCGGTGTGCGCGACCGTTCCAACCAGCCCACTTGTAGGCTACACAGTGTTGCATGCATAGATGGTGGAAACTGTTGGAAAGAGCTCTTGACTGACTGATTCCTGCAATAGACTCCAAAAGGGAATGTGCAGCAGAGTCGTGTTGGGGACCACAAGGAATGGCTCAAGCGGTTTCTTTCTCGGCTGATTCAATCTCGCGAAATACTTGGAATTTGAGAGACAGTTGTGGTAGGCCATAGCATCCACTACGGCCCACTGTAGCAATATATTCTGCGACCCAGCATAAGAAGCTAGGCTTTGTTCGACATAGCTGCTTCCCCTAACATGTTGCGCCGCAACCAAGGTGGCAAAGGTTTAATAGCTGAACACGTCGAGGGAATTCACAAGAGCCATGCTCACGGCTTCTTTGTCCGCTGGCCAAGCGATGCAAAGCATGAAGCATGCACGGAATCACCATTGATAGGGTCGTTGCCCTGTATCTCAGCGTCAGCCATAGTTTCGCCCGCTGATGAGTCTTTTACTATTGGCGTTGGAGATCTGACTTCCTTGGTCTTTGCTCTTGTCCTTGATGATATATTATCTTAGGCTGGTCCGTTGATATTTGATATTTCGTTTGCGATGCGTAGTTGAAATCGTCGCTGTATCTTGTCGTCGTTTCCGCGACTGAGTCCTTCCTAATATCACGTAGATATTCCAACCATTGCTGGTCGTCCCGAACAGCATTATTTGCACCCTGACCAGCTACGCAGGACCACCAGCCCATTTTCCTTTCCATCTTGGAGCCAGTCTGCGAAGAGAATTTCCTCGGCGCTCTTGGTAGAAGCAAAGTGCCCTACTGTCCTCCCCGACGCTGACGGCCAACCGCCCATTGGATGAAGAATAAGTCCTGAGGCTGTTTCTCCCCCCTCGTAATCTGGTGGAAGATTAAACAACTTCCACAAGTAGAGAAATCACTGTGTGCCATGCTTGCTGGAGAATGGAGACATTAGGGCAAAATATCTGTCTGAAGATAGTGAGAAGAAGAGTGGCGAGCAGTGGGAGACGGTGATATTTATACTTGATAAAAGCAAGCTGAATAGTAAGGGAAACCTTTCATTTAGGTCTAGAACATTCAGAATCTAAGCAGATTCATTGAAGCTGCTAGGGCATTCACTCTAATCAGTGTAGTGAATATATAAGGACAAATGCTAGTGAGCACAACTGAGATAAGGATATTTTATATATTCCCCTGCTGGTCTCCTAAGCCTATTAAATCAATGTATGAGAATGTTCCTTCATTTCTCCATATTACTGGCTGCAGGTCCTTGTAAGAGAACCAATACATGGTGTTTCACTTAGAAGTTGGCTATTATAAGTCTTTGAGTCTGGCATACAAACCCTGGCGTCCTGTGATTTTATATCCTACCAATCCTCTCCATCACTCTGTTAAGATTCTCCTGCACTGTAGCCTAGTATAGCTCTCCAGAGGTACAAGTTATAATTGAATGACTGCAAGATAGATGCATGTTACAACAAGCTTTGACTACCTACACACCTGGCGGATCATAGATCTAATCACTAAGGTAATAATACATGATAGCATCACAGCCAGACGCTGACCGTGGCGTGTAGCCCTGACAAGACTTGAATAAGGGTGTGGTCGCAGCCTATTTGGCATGGCTTTCTTGGCCCTATTCAAAAAAAGAAAAAAGGGGGGAGGTATATCCATGTCATTATGCTCTCCGAACAGCATAACTTATTATGCTCATCTATACTCCATATAAGTTTCGCCTTCTCAAGGCTAAATGTCCGCCATGGGGTAATTCGGCATATTATTGATGGACAGCATTTGCCGCTCAGCATGGAACATTCAGGCGTGGATCATCGTGGGGCGAATTAGACGTGCTGGGTAAACCAAACAGTCTGCACTAGTTCCTTAGTGAGGAGGGAGCAAGAGAAAGGAGGGCCATGGCTCAATAGTGATCGAAGCTCTAGTCCAAAGGGTGTTAACAGCTCCTTTAGGGTCTAGTTTTGCGTGACTTTAGTTTCGATTGGATAAAAGAGACTTGTATTTGCTGTAGCTCTTAAGATGCGCACAGGATGATAAATATCACCAGATGATCACAGTGTGGCCACACTCTCGATCCAGACCATTGGCTGCAGAAGGGCGGCGGATGAATCCGCCGCCGTGGGGAAGTTGGAGTCTTGGAGACGGATTGCTTATCAAGCCTCAGGCCATCACACCTCCAATTCGTCCGACATCGTCAGCCTTGATTAACTTCCCTAGTTTAATTAAACCCATATCTCTCTTCCTCCTCGATTCCGTGACTACTTGGGGCTGTTCTGCTGACAGCAGAATGAGCGGTCTAAGACCGAATAGATCTAAACTTCAACTTTATCATCATTTATATTCTCCTTGACGCGGCTGGATTTTTCTGCCTCCTTCTATTTCCTTACCTCGTTTCCCGTTCGTCCGATTCCTCACACTTCAACAAGTACAGCAAACACCTCCGAATCCTGGTGCGCCGATCGTTCATCTACTGGTTACCGACAGTCCGATAAACTATCGATGGACCCCCGCATTCCGGATTCATCCTGCTGATTCCTTGACGATCACTCTCCTTGCTTCCGCACGGCGGCAACGGTTCCCAACACCGGCCTTGGGATCGCGGGCATGGAGCCGGCCTGTCAACCCCCGATTCGCAAATCCCCGTCGACCTCCACCGCTCCTCCCAGGAAACGACGAAAGAGGACCGTTGTGAGCGGTGCAGCGGATGACTGCTTCACATGTGCCCGGGAGGGCTCCGCCTGTGATCGACGGCGGCCATATTGTTCGCAGTGTTTGAACCGTGGACGCGATTGTGCGGGATACAAGACCACGTTAACCTGGGGTGTGGGAGTTGCCAGTCGAGGCAAATTTCGAGGACTGTCTCTTCCGATTACTGGAGCGCAACCAGCTGCGACTGGAGATAGTCGTCGTCGTTCCGGGGGCGAGGAAAATCCGTCGGGGCAGCCGGTCGCATCGCCAACTACATATACCTTTGCCTCTGATGCGTCACCGGCCGCTGCCTCCGACAACGTGGAAAGAGCCATATTTCAATCGCAGGGATCGCCGAGTCCGGACACCAATGAGAATGCAAGTTGGATGCAAACGGCCGTGGACCCGCGAGCCTGGCCAACTCCAGCGGCTGGTTTCTCGTTTGGAACTCCGCCAGTTGTTAACACTAGTTCTCCTTATACAGAGTCGCTGAGACACTCGACCACGGCGAACTCTTCGTTACAATATATGCAGACAGTCCTTGTGGCGGATTATCACTCTTCCCTTCAAGCCAACGCGTCGACAGAAAGCTGGCCAAAGTCAACCACTTCTACATTCAAACAATGGCAGGTGCCACCAGCTTGTAATGCTGCACAACCTCAGGGCCGTCAGGACCCTCAGGACACTGAAGGACCCAGCAAAAGCTCAATTGAATCAGAGGCCTCAGGCAATCCTCGACGGATTGCATGCCATTCCCCGTCATTTTCTCAAATGCTTCTTGCACGATCGGTCGGCCGTACACCCCGTCTGAGATACTTGATAAGCTACTATGCGGAAGTCATTGCGCCGGTCATTGTAGCTTTCGACAGCCCAACGAATCCGTTCCGCACCCATATTCTGCGTCTAGCGCAGGACAGCGAGTCCCTGCAGGAGGCCATCGCAACGCTGGCCACTAGCAACCTGCGGCAACGACGAGAGAGCAAAACCATGCCGACAGACAGGACGCTTCCTTCACGCATGTCTTCCTTGGCACATCGAGCACTGACGGATGGAACCTGCCAAGGTTTTCAGGATACTTTAACGGCTGCAGGATTCGCCCGCGAAGAGCAATATCACCGAGGTTTGGCGGTGAAAGCATTGAATATGGAGCTCGCCGATCCCCATCGAAGGATGTCCGATTCCGTTCTGGCAACCTTGTTCATCCTATGTCTCTTCCATGCCTGCGATACTGGTGTGGCGCAGTTCAAAACGCAACTCGCAGGTGTGACCAAGCTTCTAGCTCTCCGAATGCGCAGCTCACCGGTGCTTTCCGATGAGCTGAAGTGGTTCATCCGCGTATTTACCTGGTACGACACGATGGCTGCCACGACCAATGATCGCGAGATACAGCTGCGTGGTACATGCCTGGATATTGCTGCGGTCTCCGACAGCGAATGGGGCCTTGAAAATCTGACTGGCTGTGATGCCAGCTTATTCAAGTACATTGCACAACTCGGTCGCCTGAATCTCCTCAGCCAGAAGCAAGAGGTCAGCACGCCTGCTCTTCCCGAAGTGTTTGTTCCCACAGCGTCTCTCCCGCCATCGCTACTCTTCGACGCATCCATGGCCAACGGTATACCGGGAATGAACACTTGTTTCAGCTTTACCATGCCAATACAATCGTGGACAGTCGAGCAAAGCAGCCGATCTTTGTCCCCAACATTCTGGGCCGAGTGGTTCGCCCTCCGGCAGCAACTAGAAGCCTGGCGACTTGCGCCCCCGCGATGGGAATCAGCGTCACCGCGTGGTTCGGTTCATATCTCAACTCCTTCTTCCGCTCAAGCCTACATCTCTCCACCATCCTCGCCATCTACGCAGTCTACCGTGGCGCCTCAGAACATCGATGACGTATTCCACATCTCGGAATCCTTTCGCCATTCGGCAATACTATACAGCGAACGGCTCGCCTATCCAGAACTTCCTTCCAGTCATCCTCGCATTCAACACCTAGTCCACCGTGCCATGCACCATATCTCATTGGTCAAGTCGGATGTGTACCTGCTATGGCCTCTCTTCATCACCGGATCGGAGTGCGTACTACAGAGCCATCGAGATACAGTTCGACAGCGCTGCAGAGATATCTCCAAGGACTCTGGTTTCTTCAACAATCTAACATGTCTTGAGTTGCTGGAGAAGATCTGGGCTAGGGACATGTGCGATAGCGAAACAACGTCTGTGCAATGGGACACCAGAGCGCTTTATGGCTCCGAGATGGCACCCTCGGCGGTTCTAGGCATTGATTTCTTTACGGGAGGGGGCTCTGTATACCCGGCAACATCCAGTTCGCGAATACAGGGCTTCCGCTGGCATGAACTCATGCAAGCTAAACGAGCAGAGGGAGAGTATCTGGTGGTTTGACCGGATCAGCAGGCTCACACACACCACCTTGTATATATCCCAGGCGCCAAAAGGTCAATGATCTATTGCGCTTTTGACGATCACGGACATGACGAAAACCATCTTTGCAATATTTATGAACATACTTTTCTGATAATTTTCATGTACATACTACGAGGGCACAGTCTGTTCCCAGAATGATATTCCATGAATAACCAATTACGAATTTGCTTTACCGACCATCAATTATTAACCACCTTCAAGGATCATCAAGCCAACTAACTATATTAGGTAGTTGGCCAGCATGCCTAACGCATCTCAAGCCTGACAGATTGCTCGCCAGCGTGTCACCCGCTTATTTGCGGGGTGCTAACACTTGACCTCCACAGTTGATGCCTTATTCCTGCGCTAGACACGCAACCCAGCAAACTGTCAAGACCGTGCAGCGTACATGACACACTGGTTCTACATCTGCCGGTACTCGAGGGTATTGGTCCATCGTCAGGACCATGAGGGGTTGGTTTTCGTTCTTGTTTCTGGAAATCATGCAGATGCAGATGACGGCCGGATCCTATTCGCTGCGACAAGCTCCAAAGTCTCTTAGTCTATTCGTACACGATGGTTCTCGTCTGTTCCTTCAGAGTTATCCATACATATATACATTCTGGTACAGAGACTGATAAGGACAGGGATGTGGAAATACCACAAACACTTATTAACTTCGAAGTCAGGGCAGAGTTCAGACACATACCCATGCGGTTTTTTTTTTTTTTTTTTCTTTCCCGATAGGTCTTTGTTCTAATTGTCGGAAACCGATATGCAAGTACCCGGTACCCTAAGGCGCCACAGATGCCGGCGTAAATAATACCATTTGAGCCAGGACAGATATACATCGTCGATGCTGCAGCGTTACTGGTCAATATGATCGAGTGCGAAGGGATGAGAGACTCGAGATACTGCATCTGCTGAGGAATCGATCACAGGTCTATGTGGATATGTGCATTTGTGAGTCATCATGAAGGTTTGCTCTCATCTGTGCTCTTCTTGGTTCCACCTGGACCGTCTGTCGTTGCTCTATCTCAAGAGCTCATTGCGAGGTACGAGCTGATTCCGTCAGCATCAACTATCATGTCCACAATGAGGATGAGCCAACAAGCACTTCAGTTGAGCTTTCGACCAATGTTGCTCAATGAAAGGTCTCACTTGCCAAATAAACAGCCGCCATCGTGCAAAAACTGAGAGCCAGTACTCGTGTCTATTTGCTGCATCTCAGCAAGAGACTTGATCAGCCCAGTTATAGAGTCCATTCGAGTTGCCAGCCGAGTCCTCATTCACCTATATCCCCGTCTCGAGGGGTATAATGAGGTCGCACGCAAAATGGAGGAGCTTACTCCTGACCGCGCGTACCATTATATAAACGGAATATGTTCAGCAAAGTCAAAGGATGTCATCTCGCGAGGACGAGCAAGTCCTGCCGCTATTGCGGCAGTTCGGATACTGACATTTACGTCTCCGACTGGTCCTTGAACCAACATGCATGTCAGCAATTTCACATTCCTCTTCAAACGCTGGATCAGACTCAAGGAGTACACCATCCAAGACAGCCCTGCCCTACGCAGCTGCAAAACAGTTGATCGACAATCTCGATGAGTCCTTCGGCAAGTACCCGTTGTGGCTCTGTCCCGCGCCGCAGACCACAGCGCATGTAAGGGTCCCGTTGCTCAAAAGCATATGGGATCGAGGCCGAGTACAAGCCAGATATGATTATCAGCGTGGAGTCTAGCGAGCCTAGCATGACACAGTCCGGTGATTTCAACCGACGGCAAGTCGCTCCAACCCAGACACTAAGTAAGGAGACGTTATCTGGTTAATCCACATCGTAGTTTTTCCCTAAAAGACTGGATGAAGAAGTTTCTTGTTTTCGGTTGCCTTACGTCTCAGATATTTTCTGTCGTCAACGCCGAAGTAAGGATGACTTATACGGCCTTTTTGCTTTACCAGTGAGCTTGCTTCGCCGTATGAGTAATGAAGGAACCCCAGATCTGAGACACCTGCTCTGCAACGTCCGTGTCTTGAATCTGGAATTAGGTTGATGGAGCTGTTCTGACATACTTCCGCAGATGTATCAAGGTAAGCTACTTAGACTTCTCTGCTTCTCGTAACATCACTAAATTCTTCATACACATAACAATTCCACTGTGGATGCATTGAAATGCTAGATGGCCTAAAAGTCTTATAAGATTCACAATTCATCATTCTCCCAATAATCACTTGGGCGTCTTTAGATGAATCTACGCTTTTACTCAGTGACTTATGTGAAAATCATGCCTCAACAATTGCAATTTTCTCTTAAGCTTTGAGCCACAAAAGACCTATCCCTATCCTAATTCATTATTCTGAAACGGGGACGAAGCGTTCAATGCTTCCAGATAACATGATGATCTCACATTTTTAGGATGATGCCTAGGGCATAGGGCAAGGGCAACACTGCAGCCCTGGGTACACCAACGCGCTTCCTTTCTAGGTAGAATTCCTGCAAGCTCATTCCGACGCGCTCTTTTTCAAACAATGAGTAAGGTACCAAATACATACAAGAAGAATTCCAAAACTTTACAGCTATCTTACAAACAAAACAAGACCAAAAACTAGACTGTCCATTGAATTTGTCAGGACTTGGACTGCTGAAAATGTGATCGAGTATGCAGGACTGCCGCCGTGAAGAACGGGGTATGATAGAACCACTTCGTACAAGCTGGTACAACCTGGTACTTTCGATACATGAATTACCAACCATGTGTAATTATGACCAGGACCTAGGCCGTGTGCATAACAGGAGTATACGCTATACAACCACACATTATTGTCCCCCAGCAGGATTCCAAATCATAATACGGAGTATTATCGAGCAAAGGAAGGGTAGTTATATTAATGTCTCTAGTCGTTTAACCCTGTAACAAGCAAGGGATGGTGAAAATTCTCTCTGTCTGTCTGACTGACTGGTAGGAAACTCGCAGTGTACTGCATTTCCTACGGAAGACTGACTCTCTGAAATTTCTGTCGCTGACTACCTACCTAGACAGGAAGAACTGTCCTGCACCTATATCGGAGAGAACCTAACGCATGGTACTTGTGGGTTGTCTTGTTATCACCCACAGATAGATTCCGAGATGGAGTCTCTGTTCTGTATTCCGTAGGCTAGACTGGATAACTGGAACCTGTTGGATCCTGGATGAAGCTAAGGAAGTGGAGTCTCCTCCATACTCCGTGTACTAGTTCCGTTCCTTCGAATGATGACATCCATCTGCACTTGAGCCGTTGGCGCCGACGCTACAAGGTCTTAGCGGGTCTCGGTCTGACTCGCTGAGTCGCTGCATTCAATGCTTATGAATTGGTTACTCCGAGAGGAATGATATTCCTTCAACCAAATACATTAGAATTGATCAGCAACGTAGAGTCGCACTCATCATCTTGCACATGGAAACTTGACGCCCTGTACGACGTCAAAAAGCCTGTCCTTGAACATTCAGACCGAGATTGGAAGAGAAGTAGGCTGCCTGGACTTCAGGGGTCTCGGCCCGGTCTGGATTGAATTTGGCTCTGGAGTTATCTCAAGTAATTACAGAGTCGAAGGATGGTAGATAGATTCCTTCTATTGGTGCGCGGGAATAATCCGATATCAATAGTGGCCCTATTGGTTTTCTTTTCTTCTTTCATAGTTTACACATCTCAAGCCAGTCAATCTCAGAATTGGGAAATCTTCTAGAAAGTCTTTCTATCTTACTGTCGAATAAGCTGGTTGCAAGGCAGCTGAAATCAGCTGTGCTTGTGTACCGCAAGTGCAACATTTTCAGGGTGCAATATTGTATATTTTTGAGTGCGGACGACTCACATGTACTGTACCATTTACCCAATTGCCTGGATCCGGACAGAATTTTTTTTCTACAACTGAAACTGAGTAAAACTTTTTTCGTTTAAGTTTTTTTTCCCCTCTTGCTGTTCGTTTTGATCTACCTGATACTAACCAAGTTGCGGTCTGCCCATTTCCGTTGCCGGGTTGCTGCCCAGCTGGTCGCAGCGGTAAAGCCCATCGACCACCTGCTGCCTGTTGTCTGTTGCCCAATAAGTTGTCGTACTTTGTACAAGCTACAAAGACTGTCGTTAGTAATTAGGAATAAAATGCCATATGGCTCCACTCGAGAGCAAAATTCTAATCTATCAACTATCGACAAAATAGTTTACTATCTATACTGAAGCTGAACCATGGACGGCACCCGGGAGTGACCCGTAGCACATCCATGGGACAACCCATAGTGTTCCAGTACCTTATATTGACATTATTAGACATATATGGCATATGCAGTAGTTATATCCTGTTATCTTTGTGTCGCGTTGCACGAGGATGATTACCATTCCTATCATCCACCCAAGGCTGAGCATCGCATGCTGCATGTTGTGGACACTCGACGCCCTGATGCAGCTTTATGGCCAACGGCTTCAGCGAGTCAATCTATAAGTATATTTAAAGATTCAACCGTTCAGCTGTATCTCTCCAATGGCACGATGATCATAATCAGCTGAGCCACAGCGGCAATGGGAGGATTGACTCATATAGGTTCCGGCTTCAGGCTCCAGTGGTAGACAGGGGAAGAAGCACATGAAGATGTCGTTGATAAAGGTATCATATGAACTACAGAAGAGGAAACTACCAAGTAGATGAGTCAGAATGACTCTTATAACGCTGCGATGGTGGAACATTCATATAGACTGGTTGATTGAAGGCCTAACTTCACGCCGAATCCTGTCCTTTCCTGCTATGGGAGAAGTCATTCAGCCTTCCAGAATATTAATACGATATACGGTGCCCAACAATGTCAGGAATCAAGATGACTCGAACGCACCTCTGAAAGGGGATGATGTAGGATGACTCGATGGCAATCTGGAAGAAGTCATAACGTAAACTGACTCTGCATATAATAGTATCAAATCCCAAGCATATGATATAAAAGCATCAGAAACCCACAAGCTGCTCGATATTCGTAGAATAGATAGGCGCCCACCCGCTTATCCCCTCAGCCACTGTGGTTGGGCCCAAAAATGTCAAGTTGGATCCAGTCAAGAATTTTGATCTTCATTTCTCGCCTCGCGCCCAATCGTAAAATATCTCTTTTAACTCGTTATTTAATTAAAAACTAAAAAAAGGTTGAGCCGAAGTACAGTAAGACGAAGATTACGAAGCACATTATTACCTCATTTACCCCCAATACCTGAGCGATACAGCCCCACCACACCCGCTTATTTCGTTGTTAATGCCACGGCGGGAGCCTTGATTTCTACAAAACCAAGCGATATCCCGTCGAAGCCCCCCTTTGCACCAAAACCTGTCCGCCCTACTTGGGTTTATATTCATCCTCCACGTTGTCCTTTCAGTGACAAAATAACCTCTGAATAGTTCCTGGGTCAGTTGCCGAGGACTAGCAGCATTAGAAACTCGAACTCGCCACTAGACGATTCGATATTCTAGGTATAATATCTGGGAATATCGCTCAGTTGGAATTCTCACACTGAGACTTGTGTGTGAAGTTCGCCTCACCGGTGACGACGAAAAGGAATACATAGCCCCTTGACTCAGCGATCGGTCAACCGACGACGCTCAAATGCACTCTCAGCAAACACAATTTCAGCCCTCCTCTCCCCTGCAAACCGTACCGCGGTGACGGTCCTCATCTTTAGGTCTTGCGGTGTCTGCTGTCTCGTTTCATCACCGGCGTCGATCGGCTTGCTTCGAACGATATCCTGTATAATATACTCTGGGTTGTTTTTGTTCTCAGTCGTCTCCGTTGAGCTGTTTCTCTGATCGCAAGTCTTTTTTCTGTTTGCTTTGAAATCACTATTTACAAGCGTTTATACCCATCCGTGGTCACGGTTTATTAGCGCCTCGATTTTCCATGCTCTGGCGATAATGTATCACTACGCTTCACCACCACCTGGGTGGTCCTCGTTCGATTACATGAACTCGCCTCCCACCTCTCCGCACTACGCCTACTACGCGACACAATTTGCGAACCCCTACGTTTCTCCTCGAGGCACGTCGAAGCGCCACAATCGCAAGGCCAGCTACGCCGCCCCCAAGGAATCAGGAGCATGGCATTCCGGCTATGGCCAGAGCTTCTACGAAGCGATGCCGGAATATGGCACGCCGCCACGCAAGCACGAGAATGTAAGTGCTTTCTCTGGTGGCTATCCATCCTGTCGTCGTCCCCGGGCCAGGTCTAGCGCGACCGGCCTCTGGGACAAGACCGGTTATCATTTCTATGAGACACCGTATCCGTCGGCACAGCGTCGCTCCTCCATCTTTGTGGATGTGGTCGATGATGTGTTCGATGACCGACCGCCGGTTACGCCCAAGCGGGACAGCTACACCCAGCCGCGTCGCCAGCCGTCGTCGTCTCAACGCAAGGGAAGGCCACCCACTGATCCTTATTTCTCCTCTCCTCAGGTCCCCGCGTACGACGACCAGGATTCCCCCAAGCGATCGCGGGCGCGCCGCCAGTCAACCTCCACGCGCACCCCATCCAAACCCAAGCCGTCCGCCACCCCCAAGGCACCGCCCAAGGCGACCGAGGAGGACGCCGCCCGTGCCGGAATTCCGCCGGGCTATTCGATCAAGAACTGGGATCCGACCGAAGCGCCTATCATTCTGTTGGGAAGTGTTTTCGATGCGAACTCGCTGGGCAAGTGGATCTATGACTGGACCGTTTTCCACCACGGTGCCTCGACCCCGATGGCCGACGTGGCGGGTGACTTGTGGTTGCTTCTGATCAAGCTGGCGGGTAAGGTGAAGCGGGCGGACGAGTGCCTGGAGCGAATCAAACGACCCGAGGCGCAGGAGATTGTGGAGGATTTCTTGGAGAGTGGCGAACGCCTGTGGGCGCGGTTCAAGAAGCTGCTGCGCACATGTGAGCAGTTCATGTGGAAGGCAGCCAAGCGGGAGAGTGGTGGCAAGGGGCCCGTCTCGATGGGGCGCAATGCCGGCTGTGAATTCGTCGAGTCGATTTTCGGTCGCGACCGCGAGTTGGAAAACACAGAGAAGTTGATGAACAGCATCCGGGTGTGGAACATGCGGTTTGATGCAAACTGCGAAGAGATCCTCCGAAGACCGTCGTCTGCTTAGCCCGACAGTGCTACAAGTTTACCCCTATTTGCGTATCTGCGTCGACCGGTTTACAAAAAGTTTGTGTTTTGTTTTGTGTTGTTTCTGCTCTCTTCTAACATCTAATAATTGTTGTCTGTTCGCAAGCGCAGGCGAAGCGTCTTCTTCGTTCTCGCCTTCTGCCAGGTTTAATCTCTTTCTCATACAAGTCGGATGCATTTTGAGCGCGTTTGGTTTTGGCACTGGATTTGCTCGTTTGCGGTTCTTGATACCACCTTCCCGACCTACAAGCGGCATCAAACACCCCATGCCGACGCTATCAGCGCGAATCATCTCGTCGGTTTCTGGCGCCCTTTTTTGACTTGTTTCTCTCTGACTCATTCCTGGGACGGGTATGTGCTTTTGCTCTTGTCCGGCGCGGGAGTCGTTTGCATTTCTCTCTACGCAAGTTGGAGTCTTTGCTTTTTCCACTTCACTTCGATGATACCATTTTGCGTTCTCTCTACTGTCTCGGGCACGGTTGGTTTTATTCATTCCTTACTGCGCATGTCTGGTCTTGTCTTTTCCTTTGTTTGTTTTCTGCTCTTCGCGTCAAGACCCGCGTCATAGATACCAACTACCATCGTACCGATAGACTTGAATACACTTTATCTTACCACTGGCAGTTTTTTCCTAGGGGCGTAGCATTCTTGATACCATCATATTTTCGTAGTAATTATCCGGAAAAATACCAAAGTAGTCTTAGTCTTAGTCGTAGCTTCAGTCTTACCCCTCCATATCCACATACTAAGGTAATGTCCATGTAACCTCTAAATCTGATGTCATCTGACAGACCACCCTAAGAAGGCCCGTTCATGCGCCAGCCATGTGAAATGACACGATGTGATGTGATGTGGCCTGCATCGCGGCAGGGATCATCATTCTTAGTGCTTGTTGGCATTTTACCCCTCAGACTGGAGCGCCTAGGCTACCCCTCCCTACATTTGCTGCTATTCTTGCTCTGCTAGTGTTAGGTAGTCCGCCAGACTGCAGGGTCAGACTTAGGCAGCGTCGGGCGAATCCCCGTTTCCGAGACTATGCATACATGCACGGTTATTACAGGCTATGTCGGGTATTACAAGACGCTACTAGTATAGGTGACTTATTTTACATTGAATGTATCGGAGGTAATTTACTGATGGATTACCTTGCGGAGTACTACCTTAGTACTTGGGTGAGTTTGGCCATGTGTTGGGCCTTATGGCTTATGCATTGCAGGTGCAACCACGTGTTTGTAGGTTAGGGAGTGAGACTGTAGGCACCTTAGAATTTTCAGGTACTGCCGTCGGTAGGTATTATCTAGGTTAGGAGGGTAGGACAGAGGGTTTCTGAGGTGATACTTGCTCAGGGGTACAGATACTAGGTACATATATAGTGGTACTGAGGCGGTTTGGTTGTCTGCATGTCACTGACTGACGAGTCTAGTCTACTTCTATATGCGTCTGTCTATATAGGTATCAAGTATATCTAAATGTAAGGTACAGGTACACAGATTACTTCCCTTCAGCCCTCCAAAACAACCACCCCAGTCCAATCACAAACTTGAACCCAGCCGCCATCCACAACGCAGACTGCATCCCCCCACTGCTCCGACTCAACCACCCGCCCGCAATCGCCCCAACAAGCAACATCACCACCCCTCCAACCCTGCGATTCCGCTTCGCATTCGACGCCGGCCCCGCCCCCAGCTTCGGATCGGACGCAACATCAAAATACACACTCGTCAGCACAACCGCCGGAATCTCATTATACCCCAGCGCGCGGCTCGACGTGATCGACCCCGCAGACTGGAACGCCAGCAGCGCAATTGGGATCAGCTCGAGGAAGAGCGGGCCACCTGTCAGCGCGGCGTCGTCCTGCGTATGCGGGATCAGATCGGCCTCGATGAGCGACACGGCGATGACGATCAGGATGGTCTGCACCATGAACGAGGTGAAGAGGGTGCCGCGGCGGCGGGCGCCCGTGCGACGCGTCACGTTCGAGAAGATCAGCGCGCCAATAAAGAACGAGGCGATGGAAGTCAGAGATTTGAGCCAGCCCCAGGGTTTGCTGGTTGGTTGGCCCGAGGCGCCGAGGCCGAGGAAGATTGTGTTTCCTATACTACGTTAGATCTGGGAGGGTGATGCTTGGGTGAGTGAGTCATACCCGTCTGCATGGCGAGGAAACACGACCAGGCGTTGTAGGCGCTGCTATCGCAGAGGCCTGTGTTCAGGGCGAGGAGCAGGCAGATGAGGTCCGCGTAGGTGGGATCGACGGATTGCCTCCAGCGCTGAGCGAAGGTCGCTCGTTGTTTTGGTGGTTGTTGCGACACTTGGTCCCCTTGTTGGGGGTGCGCTTCTAGGTCAGGCGCACCAGCGGTTTTGTCGGCCATTGTCGCGGAGCACAGCCAGATTCGGTTTTTGAAGCTGTAATCCTTGTTGTGGACGTGATACACCCCCAAGCCGGCTGTCAAGCGTCAATATAAATCGTCCAAAGTGACAGCGGCGGAGCTGGCCGAGGGCGAAAATTTGCGCTGATAGGGAAAACAAGAAAACCGGAGAATATCCGACCAGTAAACACGTCTTTTACTCTCTCCGTACTAGTCTGGCCTGCAGCTATGACAAGATCGGCAAAATATTCGCTGCCTGATTTTTAGGCTTGAAGCTATCTCATAAAAGGGCAGGTGTGCTCATCGAGAGCTCCGATTGCGAATATGGCCTCCCAATCTTGATTGTTATTTGTCAATGCATTGTCGTCAAAAAAACTGAAGAAAGTTGCCAGTGAGACAATGTGGGTAGGGGCCCACCCCCCCGCATACATAGGGCTGAGTTTGGAGCATATTACAATCGGGAGTTGTCGGTCCTCGGTAGATGGATGGAATATAGAGTTGAGAATGAATGGATATACATTTGAGGTTTACCTCTCTACTTCGTGGTGTACGGAGTTTACTATTGATTGATGACTTCATTGTGCTGTCAGGCTTCAACGCATCAATGCACAAGGCAACCTGGATCGTACGACAAACAATCAGATGAAATAAACATTTGAGCATACCCCGGACGAAATCAGTCTGACTAACACTATCTAGAGCATTAGGAAGAGAGTATGTCTCAAGATCTAGGCCAGTCCACCACCTTCGGATTGCCCACATATGGTCGAGAGACCTGCGCACATGAGGATGACACCTTGGGATGGCGACTAACTTCAGTGACACTATAGTCTTCATTGCAAGCAACCAATACCGTGTTCGGCACAGCTGCTTCAACATGCTGTATCCTCATGCGATGGTGAATGGGAACCCTCCAAGGACATAAGAAATCCCTCAGGAGTAAATCGCGCAGACGTTCGTCGTAAGTTGGCACGCGACTTCAGTCCAAATGAAGTCCAATGATATCACTCATACACAGCCAGGCATGACATTTGCCCTTGAGAATATCAAAGAATCAGTGGCACAAATGATGGCTGCAAATGGAATGGCCACGGATGATATCTCTGTGCGGAGAAGCTGATATTGCTGAGTGTGGGCGTCATCGCCGTGTCATCAACGCCACCTCCCTTGTGTGATCAAATATAACAGAGACGAATCGGGGCAACCCCTTTTATTCTTCAAACACAATCTGAAATATTGAAGTTGCACCAGAATAACATTGTATTGTTGGTGAGTAATCGGCTAACTTACCCACGTCCGTCATCTTGAGAACACCTTCGCAAGAGGACTTAATATCTTGCCGGCTGATATTAACTTTTTCAGATCACACAGGTCACATAGTCAAAATGGCAGGATCGAAAACAGAGAGCGCTGTGCGCTTCCCCGAGAGGGACGCCCAGACCCGTCGTCTGCGCAACCAAACCACCCAAGACAAGAAGGCCGTAGCTCGGATGCAAGATCAGGGTGCTTCGGCGCAAGCCAGGGTTGCGAGGGCTACCCATGCCGGTGAGGAGTGGACGCCAGTCGAGACCCTCGAGACCGCCATGGACCGGGACGGCAACCCAGTGCCTGATCCCGCGTATACCGACTATGACAAGATGAGCCAGCACAAAGGTGGCGAGGACGAGGCTGATGACTATGTCGCTGCTAATGCAAACTTTGACGTTAATGCAAAAATTGTCTAAGTCGAGGACTCCTCATCGGCCGTGTACATTCCAGTCACTCAATATGAAGGACATGTGGATTCTCGTCAAGGAAAAGCGTGTAACTAAGTAGTACGTCGGATTTGCAGGACGAAAGAGTTGCCTTTCGCATATTCGCGGAGGTAGTAAAATATGAAATCAAATCACCCTTCATACCTTACCATGACTAGAGTAGCATGCTTCAAGAGTAGTCCGGATCGGAGGTCATAAATTGAGGAGGACGACGCTCTAATAACATTGTGTCTTTCAACGGCTAGAGTCTGCTCAAAGCGCTCATAGATCGAAGTCCGATGCTTGTATTGTTGCGCTTGCAGGCAAGCGGTACTGCATGAGGAACAAAGTTGCTTTTTTGCAGTCTTCCCGAATTAGTCGGCTTTCTAACACCATTAATACACAAACTTCGTGTCTTCAGGAATTGAAATCCGCAATTGACTAACTGATAATGGCGTTGTAGGGCGGGGCTGCAGTGACACGCAGAATGACAGCCGGATTGCTATGGCAACCCCTGACAGTAGATCGGAATCTTAGTGCCTCAGGCGCTCACAATCCCATTCTGGCAAAATCCAAACGACGTCTGAGAGTATTCAGCTTCATTACAACAGGAAGTCCACCTTGGGTGGAATCAACTTGTCATTCCTGATCGCCTTTGGGACTTCAGATCTTTTTCCTTTTGGTTCTCCTTCCTGTGCCGTTGCTGCATGTTTCTTTCTTTCAAATTCCATTGCAGAAGCCCCTCGGACTTATCAACTTCTCTGTTTACCCCCATAGAGGCAGTCCGGTTGATGGATCCAACATCAAGATAGCAGGAGATCTTGATTTATTCCTACAATTTGAATTAATCTAGACTTTCTCTTGCGCTGAAGGAAAGCATCGTCGGTAAAGACTTGTTCATCCTAAGCTTTTATCGACCCTCGTCTATTCACAACCGACTGCTGCAACTTCACTCCTTCCTTTTTCTGTGGGTACAACTGTTTGTATGTACCATTGCCTAATTCACCGCCACCGTGGCCTCGTCACTCATTTTGTACATTTATTAGAGGAACAGAGTCAAGGCATGGCGCTGGACCCACGCTTCTACCACCATCTCGGCCACGGGACCGGACCTGGCTCCCACATCTCCTCCTCATCGTGCGGCGCTTCAGCAATTACAGGTATAACAAGCCCTTCAACTATGTCGACTTCTGCCTCCGCAGCCACGTTGCGTTCTACAGCCTCCGTTCCGTCCCTGCGTGCGAGAGAAGGCGTCGCTGTCTCGCCGAGACGTTCGGATGGCGTCCCGAGTCCAACACCTGGGGGTAATGTCAAAGTCGTCGTCCGTGTTAGGAAGTTTTTACCCAGAGGTATGTGGTGGCTGGGAGAGACAGACCCAGACATATAATGGAGTGAGCTAACCTCGGCCTGAACGGCAATCGGATCGTATAGAAACCGAGCGCAATGCGGAATGTCTAATCGAGATGGATCCTCACACACAAATGACCAAGCTCAAAGCGCCCAATATTGGCCCAGAAGACGAAGGAAAGCCAAAGTCCCAAGCTCGCGGCAAGGTCCTGGAGGACAAAGCGTTTGTTTTTGACAACTCGTTTTGGTCCCATGACCCTAATGACGAACATTACGCAACCCAGGAGGACGTCTACAATTGTCTCGGCGAGGAGTTCCTCGACCACAACTTTGAAGGATACCACACTTGCATATTTGCGTACGGACAGACTGGGTCGGGGAAGAGCTACACCATGATGGGAACTCCAGAGCAACCTGGCTTGATACCTCGAACATGCGAAGATTTATTCCAGCGTATCGAAAGTGCCGAGTCGCCTGATGTCAGCTACAATGTCCGCGTGTCATACTTTGAAGTGTACAACGAGCATGTTCGCGACCTGCTGGTTCCCCGAACCGACCCTCCTCATTACCTTCGCATTCGCGAGTCTCCCTCAGAGGGGCCCTATGTCAAAGATCTAACAGAGGTTACCGTCAGAAACTACAACGAACTGATGAAGTACATGCGCAAGGGCGACATGTCTCGCACAGTCGCGAGCACCAAGATGAATGACACATCTTCCAGGTCGCACGCCGTGTTCACCATCACCTTGAAGCAGATACACCACGATCTTTCGACAGATGAGACGACTGAGCGCACGGCCCGAATACGCCTGGTCGATCTGGCAGGATCTGAACGAGCCAAGTCTACTGAAGCTACTGGTCAACGACTCCGGGAAGGGTCCAATATCAACAAGTCGCTCACTACTCTAGGCAGAGTCATTGCGGCTTTGGCGGACCCTAAACATGGGCGTTCTGGAAAGCGCAAAGGAAAGGACGTCGTGCCGTACAGAGACTCAATACTCACTTGGCTGCTCAAGGACAGTCTTGGCGGAAACTCAAAGACCGCAATGATCGCATGCATTTCTCCCTCAGACTATGAGGAAACCCTTTCCACCCTTCGCTACGCGGACCAAGCGAAGCGAATCCGCACTCGTGCTCGGGTTAACCAGGACCAAATGTCTGCCGCGGAGCGTGATAAGCAGATTGCAGAAATGGCGGAGACTATCCGAGCGCTTCAGCTCAGCGTGAGCCTGGCCACTGCTAACAGAAGGGAGACCGAGATTCAGAACGAGCGACTCGAAGTCTACCAGCAAAAGGTAGAGAAGATGCAGAGACTTATGGAAGAGACCAAGATGGTCAGTGAGTGCAAGATCCGGCAGCTGCAGACCGAAAATGAAGCGCTTCGCAACCATCTGAAACTTGCACTGGACAGCCTCAAGAATCCCATACCCCTGGTAACAATCGAAAAGCGCAAAAGCAACTTATCTGCTTTGGGAGAAGAGAACGGCAACACAGCTGACGGGGTCAACGACACCCGGCCTCAGTCACCGATTTCTGATGCAGGGCCGGAGCCCGATCTCATCTGGGCAGATGATGACACCATCCTCATCGAGGCTAGTCAAGTCAAGGCTCAGGAAATGCAGGCCGACATGGAAGATTTGCTGGTGGATTTGAACATGTTCAAACGCAAACTGGCCACCGACCATGAACGATTTCGATTCATCCAGAAGCACGAAACTCGCAAAGGGCGTCGTGCGTTGCAAGTTGTTTTGGCCAATAATCGCTAGGATTCGACGCCCGACACGACGGTTTCAGGGAGGGTTTTTGTTGTATATTCAAGAGCAAGCAGGAGTTTTGGACTCTGGAGTTACATGGAGTTCGTGGTTATCTGTGCTTTTGAAAGTCGCCACAGGATACTTGACGATCACAGTCAGACCTTAGAACTTCTCTCGAACCTCTTTCAAGTCTTTGATGATGAATATCTGCCGGTGAACCATTTGTTGAAGGGCTTCTTGTTCTTACAGCGTGTGCTCTTTTGTGCTTTTGCAATGAAACGATGGGATGATATTATGCCAGTACGATACACGTTGACGAATTGGTTTACGAGATAATAATGAAGCCAATAATTTATTTTCTGCATAGAATCCCAAGTATGAACCTAGAAAACATTGATCTGGATATCTAAAGTGCGAGTATGCAGCCTGAATTTTAGGGCTGCTTTAGTGCCGGCCTTGGCCTTTCCTCTTTTGGGCCTCTGACTCAACTTCCGACTGGTGACTTTTGACGCTTTCGATTCCGCCGGACTTCCTCCTAACCCCACAATCACCAAGAAAAGTCGCCAATGCCCCTCTCCGTTTCGCTGTCGCGTTAAATTAGTTGAGTTCGAGATGGCGACTCCTATCAATCCACCAGTACCTTCGTCAGCATCAGAATCTGCCACTACCGCGCCGGCGCAACAACAATCTACCTCCGAAATGCAGGCCCAGCAACAGCAACCGCCCCGCGAGCCCAAAGGAGCCGCAAAGAGCGCCTCTAAACCCGCCAAACAATCCCAAAAACCCAAGGAGGGCGCGTCCTCAACTGATGGAGCCACGCCGGCCGATGCAGGATCTGAGAAACTCACACCCGCTGAACTGAAGAAGAAGGCCAAAGCAGAAAAGGCCGCCCGCAGGGCGAAGGAGAGGGCCGAGAGAGAACAAGCCGGTGGTGCGGCGCCGGCGCAGGGCGCCAATTCCGCATTTGCGAAGAAAGGGCAGGCCGGCGCGGGGGGAGCTGGTGGTGGTGCGGGCGGGAAGGACGCTGCTGCTGCGCAGTCGCAGAAGGGACGGGGGTATCTGCCGCGTCGGGGCTCTGCGCAGGCTGCTGGCGCTATGGAGCAAAAGAAGAAGCAGGAGGATAAGAGTGTGGCTGTTTTTGGACACCTTTATGGGCAGCAGCGGAGGACTACGGTTGCTGGGGCGGGCAAGGAGGTGCATCCTGCTGTGTTGGCTTTGGGGTTGCAGATGAGGGATTATGTGATTTGTGGGAGCAGTGCGCGATGTGTAGCGACGTTGTTGGCGTTCAAGAGAGTACGTTCTTTTTCCCTCCCTTCTTTGTTGACTATGCTGATGTGATTTTCTACTCAAGGTGATCGAGTCCTACACAACGCCTCTTGGTACCTCCTTGGCTCGTCACTTGACTACCCACCTCTCCCACCAGATCACCTATCTCTCCACTTGCCGCCCTCTCTCGATCAGCCAAGGAAATGCTATTCGTGCGCTCAAGCTGGCTATTTCCTCGATTGACCCCTCCGTTCCTGAGGCGAGTGCCAAGGCGTCGCTAAGCGACTTTATCGACAGCTTCATCCGCGAAAAGATTACTGTTGCAGACCAGGTTATTGCGGACAGTGCCGCTCAGAAAATCCAGGATGGCGATGTGATTGTGACATACGCCGGCAGCTCGATTGTCAAGCAAACTCTTCTCACCGCACACAAGCAAGGCAAGAAGTTCCGGGTATCCATCATCGACTCTCGTCCGTTGTTCGAGGGCAAGAACTTGGCTCGGACGTTGGCCAAGGCCGGTCTCGAGGTTCAGTATTCGCTCGTCAACGGCATCAGCCATGCCATTAAGGACGCTACCAAAGTGTTCCTCGGAGCTCACGCGATGACTAGCAATGGTCGGCTGTACTCACGCGTCGGCACGGCGCTGGTCGCCATGTCTGCCAAGGAGCGTGCCGGTGGTGTGGAGGTCCCTGTCATTGTATGCTGTGAGTCCGTCAAGTTCACCGACCGAGTTGCTCTTGACAGTATTGTCGTCAACGAAATTGCCGACGCCGACGAGCTGGTAATGAACGAGCCCTTGCAGCAAGTGACAGGTCTGCCCGACCCGGCTGCCGTTGCTCAACCGGAGCCCAAGAAGGGGAGCAAATCTGCTGCGAACCCCAGTCACTCCGAGTCTACTGCAGTCACACAAGGCACTTCGCCTCTGAAAGACTGGAAAGACACTCCCAACCTGCAGCTGTTGAACATCATGTACGATGTGACACCGGCCGAATATGTTGACATGGTTGTTACCGAAATGGGCAGCCTGCCGCCAAGTGCCGTCCCAATCGTGCACCGGATGAGCACAAATTTGTGAAGTCATCCAAAATAAAGACAAACGAATCTGCTCGTTTAGTGATGACACTTCTCTGTTGTCACGGACATGGCAGAAAAGATAATTGGTCAATTAAGTGGATCACACCGCAGTGGCACTATCTAAGATGAAGGATGATGGCAGCGTCAGTGGGCAGGACTACTGCAAGTGTCCGTCGTATCCTGCATGGTTTCGTTCTGGGCAAAGGATCTACCTCTCAGGGTTGACTATTCCAATGTAATGATATTCGGCTTTCTGAAGCTTAGCGGGTCAATTAAAGAAAAGTTTCTTACATAATTATGCTCCTTTGTACGCCGTAAGTGGAGACATGATGCCTCTCTTCAATGTCTGGAAGATAGGTGCCTGAGGCAACAAAAGAATCGATCCAAAGGCGGTGGAGCGGCTAGATCTTATCGCTCATATCGTCGTATCTCTTTCGTCCCTGCCTTAGTCTCAGCTTGCCCAAACAGATATCCAGTGAACCCGCCTCGATTGCATTCAAACTCGTCGAATCACGAACAGCAAATTACTTGGAGAAAGGGTTTACTTGGACATTCGCTGCAGTTCAACCCGCAATTCAAAATGGTTAGCCCATTACTACCAACACATCAAAACAAACCACCCCGCGTGACAGTAACTAATCCCAAACTACAGAGCAAAGACTCCTCCCCCACAAACATCCACATGCATCATCCCCGACTAGCAGATTACTTCGAGGAATTCACCCGCCCACACACCTCGCAAACAGCCAACATGACCGCGTCCGCCTCCGCCTCCCACCTCTACCAGCACGGCTACAGCCACGGCGTGACCTACGGCTCCTCCTCGCCGACGCTGGTCCCGTCGTACCTGCCCATCGAGGAGATCTACGTGCTGCCGCAGTATCAGCCGCCCAATCCCGAGGATGAGGATGATGTGGTGCCGGACCAGCATGCGGCGTTTGGGATTACGCGGGCGATGGAGCGGAGGAGGGAGCCTGCTTGGAGGGATTTGGGGCTGGAGGGGTTGGTTGCTGGTGGGGGGAGCGGGGGTGGGAAGGGGAAGGGGGTGAAGGTCAGGGTTAAGGAGGCGGGACGGTTTATGGGTGGGAAGAGGACGGTTTGTTTGCGGTGATCGAGCTCAGCGGGTGGATTTGGTACTTGGGTGTTTTGTTAGAGCGAGGTGTTACGGTCTGTCTGATTCTTTATTGATATCAGTGTTCAGGGTCAGGGAACAAGGTCATTATTATTGTCATGTCTATCGTGACTCCGACGCCGTGTAGCGGCGGTAATATACAATTATATGCGAATAACGTCCACACGTGCCCGTTCGTAGAGCTTATGACCTAGCTGTTTCTGTTCTCGTTCGTCGTCCGCTATTACGCGTGGGTGAATCGCCATCTGTGCATATGTCCCCGCTGCTCGTCGTTTGGATAGTGTGCCGGGGTTGATCACGAGGACGCTGTCGACGACCTAGACGATCGGATGTTAGAAATAAGAACGAGAGCGAAAGACACGGTCGAAATACCTTGACAAATGGAGGGAGTAAACTCGGGGTAATCAACACGTCCGGTCGTACATTCCACCACTCTCCCAACTTGGAATAGCTGAGGTCTAACATGGCTCCCGTCGCAACACCGTTTTCAGTTGCTGGTTTGGGAAGATTCTCGCGGGAAGAGGGCGGGAACATGGGGAGGAAATGCCGTTGTTCGATGAGATATTTGGGCAGCCGAGTCAAGAGACTGCCTTCCTTGGGTTTGCCGTGCAGGACTTCCTCCCGTCGTAAATCGTATAGTACGTCATACGAGCACATGCCGATGACGGTCTCGTTGAAGGACAATGTAACAGGGTTGGATACCATCCGGACCTGTTTTGGTAACCCGAGCTCTTTCTTCGGTAACTGCTCCTGCGGCCAGGAGACGTGCTTGCTCAACGCATCCCGAACGGATGGTATCATCACAATTGTAATGCTGGGTACCGCTGCGACAAGCTTCTGCAGCGGCGCTGTGATGCAGTGCCTGAACACGGTTGCCAATGTGGCAGTGTCGGGATCAAGTCCTTTCATACTGGGGAGATCAAAGTCCCCTGCTGACAGCAGCGGATGCTCAATATCCAAAAAAGGCCCCATCAGTACAAGACTGTCTGCATAGGTCTCAGCGGCTTTCTGACAGATCTCGTGTAGCGGCTCAAAAGCGAGATTGTCATCTGCTGTGTATGGTCCAGACGCAATCAACACATTCAGTGGTGAGGGAGAGCCGGCTTCCTCTAGCCTCTGATTGATACTGTCCATAGTAACTGGAGAAGACGCCGCAGGTGGTAGTAGGGGTGGGGGCAACACCTCCTTGACGGAGAAATAGTTCCCTGAGGCATTGATCCCCCTCAGAGCAACTATTTGTCCAGGGAAAAAATTCGCTGACGCTACTGAATCCAAGTTCAGTGGTACACGTAGACCAGCGCCTGTTCGTCTGGAGGTCTCAAGAACAAGTGACGCAGGATTTAGCTTCCCTTCCAAGCTGTCTGAAGCGATGCGTCCGACGGCAATAATCTCGCTTGTGCTCTGGAGAGCGGCGCTGCCGAAGTTGGCATCTTCCCTTTCATATTCTTTCTGGTAAATTTCGGTAAACTCATCGATCCGGTCGTCCAATATTTCCGATGCTTCAGAAACCCGCATCGCCATCGGCTTATAACCAAACTTCTTGAGGTCTGTGTTCGCAGTGGGCCTTATCCTGGCTTCTGAAAAAGGTGCCATTGGGATCTCGGGCATAGACAAATGCGCATTGAGGGTTTCTATAATCTGTCCGGGATTGGGTCGTTCTGAGAAAGGCACCGATCTGTTCTCCGTCAGTCAGGCTCTCGGACTCACGAGACTGATCCATACTGTAATCCATCGACTGCACCGCCGCCGTTGACAGCTACCGCAGCGGGTTTTGAATTCGGAGACTGGTTATTATCGGTTTTTCCGATCTTCGAGAGCGAAGGAGATCCGAAGTCTGATCTGCGTTTCGTCGAACTATTCATACCAGTTGGAGTTCGGCCAGGGCCATTGGGTGTCAATCCGTCCAATCTAAGTAACGGTGCTTGATAAGCGCTTCCGACCTGACAGAAAAGTGGTATGACTGCTCAAAGGGCCTTACATTCCAAAAACATCGGACGTATTTGTTGCTCGCGGAGTCGCTGTCACTGCGCTTCGCTTTTCGGTCTGTCTGCCTGTCCTTCCTCGGCTTTCCCTTTCCAATGCCTCCTGAACGTCCCGCTTGAATAACCGAACTGTCTCCAGATTCAGCTTGGTGTCTTCCGCGCCCATCTTCAAGCAGTACGATTCCCATTTATAGAAGAGCTCCTGTGGGGGAATCGAATGCACACGCAGTATAGACTGCAACTCCGCAAGGACGTCCTTGGGTAATCCATCTGGCGATGTGGCCGCGAAGAGCTCATTGAGCTCTGCTGTAACACCATCCATATCCATCTTTGTATAATGATATCGAGGTGGATTTGATGCAGCAGAAATGAGCAATTGCACTGTCAGTTGCTACGGGGTATCACTACCGCCATAGATAAAACGCGTCAGATACGCGTGGGACACGCGACGCCATTAAATGGTCACCGCCTACCGTTTCTGATATTCTATTGTCTTACTGTCTTAGGCATCTACTAAGGTACTAATCGATGATCGGTCTTTTGTTATCCTCCAGTGGGGCTTGTCGATCTCGATGAGGATTGACAGAACTAGGAAAAAGCAAAGAAGAAAAGTTCTGATTCCTGTGACATAACTTCAGCACTCGTTTAGACCATTGCCACTTAGATTTTTGAGATATAGAAACTTGGTTTGAAAGCATAAACTCGTTCACAATGAGTGCACCGTCAGAAGCTCCCGCTGCTGCAACAGCTCCAGTCACCGACTCACAGGCCAATGCTCCGGTTTCGTCGTCTCCGACAAACCCAGTTGATGATCAATCTCCTGCTGCGACAACATTGCAATCTATGGCCCAGGTCCCGCCTTCTAATACCAGTGGGAATGATGAGAAAGATATTGAATCGAACCTCCCAACGTCCGCTGCTGATGGCCTCGTTCAGAGACCATTCCCTCGCCCACTTGATACAGCAAAACCAGCGGCTCCTGCTGAGCTTACTCCTGATCAGCAATCGAAATATGAGGCAGTCCTGAAGGCAGTTTCCGAATGGACCACTGTTCCGACAACATCGGCAAAAAATGCTCCCGAGGCCCCAATTACAGACGATGAGCGCATGTTTCTGACCCGGGAATGTCTTCTGCGGTACTTGCGCGCTACGAAATGGAATGTCGCCGAAGCTATCACCCGACTTCAGCGCACTCTCACTTGGCGGCGCGAATATGGCCTGGAAAAGCTGACTCCAGACTACATCTCGATTGAGAACGAGACAGGAAAGCAGGTCATCCTCGGATACGACATCCATGCGCGACCCTGTCTCTACCTCTTGCCCTCCAACCAGAACACGGAGAAGAGTGACCGCCAAGTTGAGCATCTAGTCTTCATGCTGGAGCGCGTGATCGACCTTATGGGACCGGACCAGGAAACTTTGGCACTTATTGTGAATTTCAATGAGACGAAGTCTGGGCAGAACGCGAGTTTGGGTCAAGCTAAGCAGACGCTCAACATTCTTCAAAACCACTATCCGGAGAGACTGGGACGTGCATTGGTGATAAACGGTAAGTGATTCTGCTGTTTTGATGATTCACTCATTTGTCTGATTGCCGTGGTGATTTTAGTGCCATTCGTCATCTGGGGCTTTTTCAAACTAATCACCCCGTTTATCGACCCATTGACTCGGGAGAAATTGAAGTTCAACGAAGATCTTCGGCAGCATGTGCCTGCCGGCCACCTGATGAAATCCGTAGGTGGTGATGTGGAATTCCGATATGATCATTCCATTTATTGGCCGGCTTTGAATCAGCTGGCTGACAAGAGGAGGAACGAGTACCGACAGCGCTGGATGCAGGGAGGCAAACGTATCGGAGAGTTTGAGCACTATCTCAAGACCGGTACC